ACAGCGATAGATGGACGGACGCTGAAGTGCAGGCACTTGTAGCAAATGTAGCACTGCCAGTTGTCGTTGGAGATTCTTAGTCCTCCTTTCCGTTCTTTCAGTCGCTTTACGTATACGTCGACATTCCATGTCCATTATTGTGAAACCCGCGAGACACAAAAACACAGCGTCCTCCATCCTCCTGTTGTTAACGTTGTTCTAATTTGTTTCCGTTGTTGAACGCCACACACAAATGACGTCGACTGGCTTACGTCACTTCCTAGTACACAGTGTTGGTGCGAAGGCAACCCTTTAAATGGTACTGGGAAATAGTTCGCACAAAATCGTCCCAGTACTTTAGTACTGTACATTTAGTTCTGGAACTAAAGCGGTGCGAAAGGCCCTATTGTGACAAATCTTACATCCCATTTTGAGTTATTTCGTCACAAAAAGATATTGTAATGCTACAAATAAATATTACAAATAAAATATTTTTTTATTTAGTTCACCCAAAATGAAAATTCTGTCATTAATTACTCACCCTCATGTCGTTCCAAACGCGTAAGACCTCCGTTCATCTTCGGAACACAAATTAAGATATTTTTGATGAAATGTGAGAGCTCTCAGACCCTGCATAGACAGCAACGCAACTGTAATGTTCCCAGGTCCAGAAACGTAGTAAGGACATCGGTAAAACATTCCATGTGACATCAGTGGCTCTCTCCCCCGAGTTACGTCTTCCGCCATTTTGGAGAGTATCACAACACATACGCCCGCTTTCCCCTAAGCGTAAACAACGCTGATTACACAGATTACGTTCATGCGCGAGCTTTCTCCTCCAAATGTAAACAACGCTGATTACGTCGATTACACTCTTGGGTACTCTCCAAAATGGCGGAAGACGTAACTCGGGGGAGAAGAATTAAGTAAATTATGTTATTTTTGTTTTCTTTGTGCTCAAAAAGTATTTTCGTAGCTTCGCAAAACTGAAGTTGAGCCACTGATGTAACATGGAATATTTTACCGATGTCCTTACTACGTTTCTGGACCTGGGAATGTTACAGTTGCATTGCTGTCTATGCAGGGTCTGAGAGCTCTCACATTTCATCAAAAAATATCTTAATTTGTGTTCCGAAGATGAACGGAAGTCTTACGGGTTTGGAACGACATGAGGGTGAGTAATTAATGACAGAATTTTAATTTTGGGGTGAACTAACCCTTTAATGGACTCGAAGCAAAATATTTTAAAATGTGCATTCAAAATAGAAAAGTTAATAATAATAATAATCCTAGCATTATGTAAGACACACTGGTTATACCTGATGGCTCCATCTGGGCTGTTGAGTTCAGACATGGGCACTGGATCCCATTTAAAGTGCAAGCCCCAGTTGAATCCCCCCCGCACGATAGGAGAGGGGCTGTATACTAGTGTGTCTGCGCTGATGATGTCGATGACAGGACAAACCACGGTTTTTCTGTTCTCTTTGATGGGCGTGAGCAGAGGCTGGAGCCATGCCTCATTCACCTCACAGTGACTGTCCAGAAACACCAACACCTCACCTGAAAGAAAAACCAGCAATGAAGACAGCCTTACTGAAGGATATAGTAATAACAACAAGAATAAAAACTGCTCAATTCATATTAATTACTTTTGATGTCTTTATGAACTTTTTGAAGCATCAGAATTTAGGTTGCATGGACAGAAATCTCTCAGGCTTCATTAAAATATCTCTGTTTGTTTTGAAGATGAACACAGGTTTCGTCAGTTTGGAAATCAGTTTTATTGGGTGAACTGTCCCTTTAAGGTCAGACCTGTAGCGTGAGATGCCCCAATCATCCTTCCACGGATCAGCCCCTCCCTCTTCTCATTACGAACTAGCTTCACTTTCTTCTGCAGGTGCTGCTGTATGTAAGAATCCAAGTCTTCCTTCAGATCATCTGTCAGACAAACAAAGTCAAACAAAATCTGATGAGTCAAACATCCAGCAATCTTTTCGACTTACTTCATTTCTAACCCTTCTTTCACACACTAGCTAACATTTTACAGGCAATGGTTAAATCTAGGGAATCTGAAAGCTACAAGTCTTTTAGATAACAACTCTTAAGACAAACAAGAATTTGACAGGTGCTTTAAACATAGTTTAACATGTTTAGAATATTTTCTGGCCAAATGATTAAGTGCACATACACACAGACCTAATATCTGGGTCATGATATGTTTAGTGCATTCAAACGGTGATAGTGCATTCAACTCTTTAACTCGGACGTTTCTCTTCAGTGCTACTTGCGCAGCAAAATTCTTTACTTGGACAGTTAATTGAGTGTTGACCTAATTCTACAGTATATTTCGTCCTCCCACAGACTTGCTCTGAATTCAAATCTATTTTTCCCCAAATATATTAAAAATGTTTGCTAAAGCATGCTAAATGAGTGTTATTTGAGTCGCTTGTGTGAGGAAATCATGAGTGCCAGTTGAGTCTCTTGACAGTGAGGTATCTCACTAAGGTTTAGAACAGATCCAACTTGTCAATCATTATCACGTCTTGCTTCGGTGAACCAAAACAAGAGAAGAGACGACTGGAGATGTTGAGAGAAGTAAAGTAGCTTGCCCAGTTCACTTTGGTCATCCACCAGTATGATCTCATGGAGCAGGTAGTTTGGTGTGCGATCCAGAACGCTGTGAATAGTCCTAAGGAGGGCAGAGAACGCCTCATTGTAGAAGCAGATCACTATGCTGGCTGTGGGCAAGGCCACGGGATAGATCCGGTCTCTGCACCTGTTGGGAACAGTGTTCATGTGATGATTTACAGCAGTATCATACCAAATCACACGTCCCTTCACCTCCATTTACACAACATGGCATGTTTTACTCAAAATCATGTGCACCTTGACCTCATAAAATGCTCATTTCTCCAGGTCATAAACAATGGTTTACCTGAAAATAAATTATTTACTCACCATACTATAATTAATTACCCATACTATAACTATTTACTCCCCATGTTTTTTTTAAAGTATCTTTGGAGCAGCATTTACTACACAGAGCCGTAGTTCACTGACAAGCTACGCAAAATCACATTCATAATCGCAGATGATGTAATCACACGATTATGAAATCGAACAAATCGTTCTGCGATTATGAAAGTTGTTTGCGTAGCTTGTCAGTGAACTACGGCTCTGTGTAGTAAATGCTGCTCCATCTGAAAGTACGTGAAAATACCACATTTAATAACATGTTTTTACTCCAAACTCACTTCATAACGCCAGTCGAGTGTTTGAAATAAATCCTTCTGTGAGATGATGTGGCTTCTTAAGGCACACAACATATTTCATAGTATTCCAAGCAGTGATAAAGGCTATGTCGATTAGCATAGCATTATTATATATTTTATTATAATAAAAATTATAATAAGACGAAAGCAGATAAACCATATATTGTCATAGTCATGTGTTTATTAGTCACGCTGAATTAATGAAAGCAGTTAAATCTTCTGCTTATTCAGCAACCGCTATAGGCATTTCCTGGGTTTCTTCTGCGAGGCATATTTGGAGTTTCAGCGCGAGAGCGCCCTCTGGCCTTCGGATGGAGATTTACTACTGATCACAGAACCGTGCTTCACTGAAAGATACGCATGACAATCGCAGCTTCTGCCTAATCACGATTTATCACCTTTGCGATTTAATTTTGCATTCAATCACAGATAAAAAGTATCTGCATCTGACAAGCTCCATATAAAAACTGAAAACTGTTCACTCAGCTGACATTTCAGAGCCTTAGAGGAAAGCAATATTATTAGTGCTATCATGGCTTGTAATCAGTGGCGTAACTTAGTAATGACGGGCCCCAGTGCAGGCTATTACAACGGGCCCCATGGGGTGCACGGTTATGAAGCACATACAAACACACAGCGCTCGTGTCTAGAAGGGAACCCATATAAGCAAATTTGTGCCTACTTAATTTAGACCAACTAAAATCAGTATCTAAATAAATATAATAAATAATTCACATATCAGAGCCATCCTCATTGGACGTGCCTTTAGAGAGAAATGCATCTTTAAGGATTACATAATGAAAGAGTTTTTGTTTTCAATTTTAATTATTTCGTTTTAAAGTAGTATTTTAAAGCTTTCTATAGATATATTTATCATATATATTCATCATATCTGTGACTCAATTCGTTGAGTTTCGGTTCATCATTGTGAAGCCTCCTGTTCAAGACGAGACGGCAAGAGCATCCTCTGTTTTCCTATTTATTTTATAAAAGCACAACGTTTGTTGATATTGTGAATGCACACATAAAAGTAGACCCTTTACATTTCCGAATGTATTACTCTTACCTTTATGAGCAAAAATGATGGCGTATTTTAAGAAAAAAATGCAAGTGAGTGATCGTGCTGGCGCCTCCATATCCTGCAAAGTGCCTTCAGCTTCCACTCTTCACACAAACGATTAGATATGCGCCTAATAGCGCTTTTAGGCAAGTCGTGATGATTTGAGAAGGCTAAATTGATCAAACATAGGCTATGATAAGCTCACTGTCTGCCGCTGGCCGCTTGGTCTTTACTTAAAAAAAACCTTACATTTAACGAACAAAAAATACTCCCCACGACCCCCCACCACTTTTTGCAACATCTCGCGGCACGCACGGATGTACCTAAAGCAGTGTTTCTCAACCTTTTTTTCCACCGGGCCGCACTACGGTCCAAGTGCAAGTCTCGCGGGCCGCACGCATATCATTTACATATTACGTCAGCAATACAAACCAACCTGATTTATAATATTATAGCCTAAATATTATGATATCTAATCGATTACA